TCCCTAAAGAAATGAATGCAGATATCCACACAAAGACTTGTACACAGGTTTCTGTAAAGCTAAAAACTGGAAACAAATGTTCTTCAATCATGTGAATACATAAATAAAATGTAGCATATCTATAACACAGAATACTATCCAAACATAAAAATAAATGAACTTCCGTACAGTAACAATAGGGATACAGTAACAACAGGGATGAATCTCTAATTATTCTGAATGAAAGTAACCAAGCCAGGTTAGAAGACTGAAGTCTTTATATTATATTTATAAAAAGACTGTAAAGATGAAATGTTATTTATAAGATCAGAAAGCAATTAGTGGTGAGCCAGTCCCATAGCCTAGTACTTAAGGAAGCAGATTCTACATGGAATACTCCATGAGGAGCAGTGGAAGAAACATGACCACAGTTGATCGCAGTCCCTTCTCAAGTTTCCTCTCAGGATTTTGGGACAGCCGAGTCCTGGCCAGGCTGCAGCAGCTTGAAAACCATTCCATGCATGTGCACGCCTACCCCAAATCCCACAGGATCGAAAAAGGAATTGGGGCATGGCTACACTCCAACAAGGGGTGTTTTCTCCCTCTCTAAATCTCTCTAGTGAGCATATGAACCGTCTGACAATTAAAAAATAAATAAAGCAAGTCAATCAGTGGTTTATGAAAGACGATGGTAGGCAGGGATGGCAGAGAATTATAAGGGGTCAGAGGAACGTTTTAGAGGTGATAGTCACTGACTAGATGATACTGAAGATTTCACAGACACATGTTGTACTAAACTGTGCATTTAAATACGTGCAGTTTATTTTATGTCAAGTATAGCGAATAAAATTGCAAAAGGGGAGGAAACAGAGGCAAGGGAAAGAGCTGGAGAGAAAAGGAAAATAAACCCATCAATCTAGAAGGACTGCTATCCAGAATGTGGAGAAGGAAAGAAAAAAGATCAGAAATAATCAAAGAGCATTCTATAAACTAAAGAACACAAGACTTCAAACTTTAAAGTCATCCAAGATCAAAATGAATCTAAATTTAAAATAAAATGTGTACTTAGCTACATTATCATTTATTAAAAAAAAAAGTGAGGCCAGTTGAGCCCCAGGCCCTGCGGCTTGTAGGTGATGGCGGGCATATGTGTGATGTGCCCCAAAATCCTGAGATTAAAGAAGGGACTACGACACGGCCATCCCTTCTGGGGGATAATTTTTCACTTTCTCTCTCTTTTTCTGTGTTTCTCTCTCCCCCATGAGTACACATGCCCTATAACAAAATCTAAAGTAATAATTAAAAAGTTTATTGACTTACTTCTTCCATGAGCCTCTCCCTCATGGAGGAAATAGTGCACCCCAAACTGGGTCTTGACACCACAACTCACTCCTCCAACCAAGTTGCAGGAAGCCCTGAATCACAGGCGCACGTGCTGGCAAAGGTACACAATCATCACCCTTTACAACTACCAAGGATAAACATCTTTAAAAATTCCAGAGCAAAACTGATCAACACTAAAGAATACAAGCAGCAGAAGGGCATTAAAATTAAGTACACGGGGGACCAGCAGTTAGCATAATGGCTATGTCACCAGTTAGCATAATGGCTATGTCACTGGACTCCTATGTAGGTGACCACAGTTCGAGTCCCGGACCCAGTGGCTTCAACTCACACAGGGTGCATGTGCGTGCATGCCCAAAGTCCCAAGAGAATGGAGGAGAAGGGCTTGCGGTATGGCCATCCCCCCACCCGGGGGGGTGGTGGGGGGTGGGTGGGTTGATTTCTCACTTTCTGTCTCTCTGGCTCTGTTTTTCTGTGCCCATGCACCCTATAGCAAAAACCTCTCCTAAAAATAATAAATAAGTACAAGATCTTCCCGGTTTTCACACTGGCTCTGACATTTACTAGCTGAATGACACTGAGTATGTTACTAGACCCTTCTATGTTTCAGGTTTCTCATCTGTAATGATAACTAGTAGGCTCTGCTTACTATGAAGCGAATCCTTAGAGAGTCAGAAAGTGAGAAATCACTCCCCAAGAGGATGGCCATGCCACAATCTCCTGTCTTCCATTCTCCTCCTAGGATTTTGGGCACACACCCACACGCACAGGCACACGCCACTGGGTCTGGGACTCAAACCGCAATAGACTACATGGGATTCCAGCCATGTAACCATCACACCACCTGCTGGTCCCAGGAAACTACTTTTCAAACTCAAGTTCTATGTCTAGCTTATAATCATTCATGTATGTGCAGGCAGAAGAGAGCTATTTTTAAAAAAGAATCATTTAATTTTATTTATTATTATTATTCTTTATTTTGATCAGAGAGAGAGAGCGCACGTGAGAGAGAGAGAGAGCGCGAGTGAGCAAGCTGCCAGGTCCGGGACTCAAACCATGGTCAACCATGTGGGCATCCAGGGCCTTCACCACCACACCACCTGCCAGCTCCAAAATAGAGCAATGTTTTGTTTTGTTTTGTTTTGTTTTTTGAGAGGTTTTCGCTATAGGGCGCGTGCGCTCGCCAGACAGACGGAGACAGACATAGAGACAGAAAGTGAGAAATCACCCCCCAGGGGGTATGGTCACGCTGCAATCCCTTCTCCTCCATTCTCCTCTCGGGATCACACACACACACACACACACACACACACACACACACACACACACGCCACCAGCAGAGTTTCAAGCCACCGGGTCCAGGATGCGAACCGCGGTTGACTATGTGGGAGTCCAGCGACATAGCCATTACGCCAACTACTGGTCCCAATAGAGCAATTTTTTAAATTCACAACCCACACAGCATTTCCCAAGAACTGCAAAGGATTAAAAAGTCAAGGAAGAACGCATTCCGAGAACAATGATAATCCAGAAAACAGTACCTTCCACTGGGGGAAAAAAATCCCAGCTTCCCAGCCAGCCTACAGAATAACCAGATATGACTGCAACAGAAAGGGGGGCATGATAAAATACCTCTTAAAATAGAGTTTGGGTGCAGAAAGGTTAAGAAAGAAGGGTAACACCAGGGGAAAAACACAAGAGCAGTGGAAGAAAAACAACTGCAGCTGGCAACCTGGATCTACAGTGAAAATTCTCAACAATCCTAAGTCATTTTAAGCTTTTTTAAAAATGCATAAGAAAGCTTATTCTATTCATTTTATGCAATGAAGTGTTGCCCAAATGTAGAATCACAAAGACAATTAAACCCTAAAAAAACATAGCCAAAGAAAAGCCCAGACAATTTAATTTTGGAAGCCAACAATGGGAAAGTACAGAGGACAAACCTGCGATGAGGGTAAGGGCAGGAGGTTAGAAAAGCTAATATCAACTCAGAAAGTAAAAGGGGGATACTTTCTACAGGTGATAGAATAAAAAGTAAAGGCACATCACTTAAAGTTATGAAGTTTACCAATAGAGTAAATAAGCGTAGTGATTTACTATATTAGGAGAATGGGACGGCCAAATAAGTGACTAAATTTTCTCCTACTACAGCCAGAATTCAATAAATAGATTTAAAACTGATAAATCAAGCATAAACATATTTAGAGACAGTTAACAGTTATTTAGAGAAGTAACAGTTTAAAAGTGGTTGTCTCTAGAGAGTAGAAAAGG